GACTTCCTCCCCTCTGTCTTAAGTAATACTTGAAAGTGCGTGGCTTGGAGTCGGAAACCTGGCAACCGCGGTGAAATTGGAGACTGAAACTTTCCCACATGCTTGACGCGTTTTATGCGCGGCGTGTCACACGCAGCCTTTTGATTTATTAACGCTTTATATTGTGGAGGGACTCCGTAATAATTTTTGAAAGTTCCGTAAAGGCGGGCGGATTAGCCTGACGCGGGAATTTCTGGAGTTGATCAACATAATATTGTTATTACGCTTCCCCGGCTCGTCCGGCCGTCGCTCGCTCACCAAATCTCGGCCGCTCTCGGCAATTTTCGACGCAGTTAGAGCACGTATAGTCCTGCCGTTCTTAGGAAAAACAATAAAAAAAAAACAATTTAAAAAGCGGGTAACAAGGCTAAAATTCCACATACACAAAACCAAAACGTTTCGGCTGAAAATTCAGTCATCCTCGGTTGGATAAATCAAAATAAAAATGGTTCAAATTCTAAAATAGTACCTGATAAGTACCATTCGATTGGGAATGTTGTTATTATGACAGAAATTTTGATAACATAGTCAAGAAAAACACCGAAAACGGGCATAGGTGAAACCACTACAGCGCTTAAAGTTTCAGCCGAAACGTTTCGGTTGTGTGTATGTGAAATTTTAGCCTTGTTACCAGCTTTTTAAATTGTTTTTTCATTGTAAATCTTGTCACGGGCTGCAAAGCATCTATCATATTTACTATACTTATTATCATATTACTATACTCCACGTATTATCGCCGGCGATAATACGTGGAATTTTAACGCCAGTTTTTAGCTTCGGTTTTTATTTTTATTTTCGTTGTTAGTTATTAATTACCTGATGATGACTTCCACAGAAGTCGAAATGGCCATCGTTTAAGTTTAAGAGTGACAACCGAAAAATTCATCGGGCGAAAAAGAAAGTAAGTGTCAATCTATCATATTTCTTAGGAAAAACGCCACATGAACATCCCAGAGTTGCCAAATTTCCCCCTTTAAAATTTTTATTTTTAAGGATACTTATGAATATTTTTCTACAAATTTCTCAGGAACTTCGGGTGAAATTACGATCAAAATTATCCGAATAATTGGAAGAAAAATATTCATAAACTTTCACGGAAAGTCGTGTTTTATCCTGAAAGCAACACTTGAAGGTTCATACGGCGTTTTTTCTTAGCACGGCTAGGTAGCATTCGGAGGGAAAGCTGGGTACGGCGCACAGTGAATCGAGTCAATTAGAGAGGTCGGACATTAAATCTTCGACAAAAACTGCGAATTTTTATGTTTATCTCGTCACATTTTAAACTTGTAGGAATGCTCCTTGAAGAAAATTTCACGGAAAAACCAATGGAGCCACTTTTAGAACCTCAAAGTTTCGTATAAACAGAGTTATATGTGTTTGAAGTTTCCAAACTTTGTCCGACCTTTCCTGTTGACTGGATCCACTGTGCGACGCAGCTTGGTCAGTTCAGTTGCGAGTCTTGAAAGTTGGCAACACTGTTTTTCCTCCATTTGAATGTATGGAAATAATCGATTCTTGGTGAGGCGCCTTGCCCTGTCGATATTTTCAATTAATTTAAATGGAGTCGTAAAAGTGTCGTCAACTTTAAAAAACCGCCACCGGGTGAATTTTGATCGATTTGAAACATAGAAAATAAAACCTACGGTGGACATCGAATATAACAACCTGGAAGGGACCGGTATTTTTCGGTCGTTTCTCGTTGATGTAGGCGCTAATATGTGTTTTAGGCCGACCGAGCCGACCGGCCGTTTGGTGTAATGCGTGCAGTATTCTCACGGTCTTGTAGGCGCTAATATGCAATCCGCGCCGAACGATCCGACCGTTTCGTGTTTGGAGCAATGCGTTAAGTGGATTGCATTTTGCAAAAAGGAACCACTAGCATTGCAATGTTGCTAAGATTGTGCAACTTCTTTTGTCTTGGAGGAAAAACCCGATTATCCATTAAAAGTTTCTATTTTACTCGCTAAAAAACTGTGAATTTAAGACAAAAATTACCATCTAAATTTCATAGTTTTTCACGATTTCCGCAATTTTATTGCAAAGGATGAAGTTGCACAATCTTAGCATCATTGCAATGCTAGTGGTTCCTTTTTGCAAAATGCAATGCAAGTATTCTCACAGTCTTGTAGGCGTTAATATGCGTTACCCAGCGTTACCGGTTACACGCCGACCGCACTGTGTTTGGAGCTCCGGAGAGAAAATAATTCTCTCCAGAGAAAATCATTAGTGTTCTGGAGAAAAATATTTTCTCTCCCAAGCAATAATTTTTCGTTCCGAGGAGAAAATAGTTTTCTCTTGAACACTAAGTAATTGCTCCGGAGAGAAAATAATTCTCTCTATATTTTTGGACAGTTCTACGAGACTGCAACTCGAGGTCCTCTTCTCCGTTCGCACGTTCCCTTTATACTGAGAGTTAAGACAACCCCCCTTCATGGATTCACAAACGGGAATAAAGATTACACAAATTGAAAGTTTTTCGTAATCTTTGATCGGCTCATTCTCAAAATCCTTTCTCCGCTCCTTCTCTCATTCCGTTTGTTTCTTGCCGAACCCGTAACTCCCCGGTCCACTCCAGATTATAATCTTTGCAATTGGTGAAAATGTAATCTTTATTCCCGTTTGTGACACTGTGGGTGGAGGCCTAAAATACGGGAACCAATCAGAAATGGATTCACATTGTCTTCACCCTCAGTATACGGGGACTCTAACGTTTTCAGGAACGTTGCGGACATTTTTCTGACGTCATCAGACAACAGTGTCGCGTCCCATCGTTCCGGTGCGGCGATGACGTTTAATTTCGCTAAGTGGGACCAGAAGAAGTTTTCTTTGAGCTGAGTCGCGAGGACAGAAAAATGATAGGGTTCCCGCGCCCCCGTCCCAGCTTATTTCGGTTTTCATGGGGTTACTTTCGTTTATCTCTCTCCTCGAATAAGACGTTGGTGCCTTTATCAATTTTCACGTCAAGAGATACTCCCTCTAATAGCCAGGTAGTTCCCTCCCGCTTCTGTATAAACACTGGCTAGACGCCGTTCGGTAAAAAGAAACCAGCTCACTTCATAAGGAAGATTATTTCGATGTGGACGCACGGTGCTGCAACATTTCCGGCTCTTTTTATTTGGAATATTGACGGTGAAACAACCAGACCACGTATCTTGTTTACGGTTTTTAAAAATCACCGCTCCCATTTTATTTTTTTGACGGAGAAAAAGTCAATATCATTGCTCCAAATTGTCACAGATTATCCTTCGCACATGGAAGACATACCACGAAAATTTTCAAGAATTGACGTTGAGTAGTTTTCCATTTAAAAAATAAAGTATGATATGAAGTTTCCCGAAATGAATCCAAGATACGTGGTCTGGTAGTTTTACCGTCGATATATTTTGCAATTCGGAACTGCAATTGGACCGCGTTTAACAGAAAGGAACCAAGCCACATCAGCTATTGCCAAATTTAATTGGGCAATTTAATTTTTTACGAGAGAATGTTTGTGTGGATTCCTTTGAAAATTCTAAGGAATTTGCTTTGTACTGTAGAGAAAATCCACTGAAATTTGCACGAAAATCCGTACGTCCGTTTTCATGTAAAAAATTAAATTGCTCGATTAAATTTGGCAATGGCCGATGTGGCTTGGTTCCTTTCTGTTCAACGCGGTCCAATTGCCGGCTCATCTGTAGAAATACCCAAATGTATGTTTCAGTGTTATACAGTTTTTTTTTTTTACAATTTTACTCACGTATATCCTATTTTGTTGACATCTTTCTAAATCAATATAATCCATCTGTAAAAACACTGAAATGTATGTTTGATTGTTTTACAGACAGTTTTTTTTACAATTTTACTCACTTAATTTATCTACAGAGAATTTGACGAATCTAGGTCCAACCGCAACTGCTGGCACTTAGTTAGCTAGTGATATAAAAAAATTATTATCTTAGATTGCTCTAAATTCTAAATTTTAAATGTTAAGTCTTTGATTTATTTAATTATAATTTTATGTAAATTTGATATAATTTCTAATTTTTTAAATTTACCGCCTAACTGACAATTTTAGCAAAGATGGGTTGGCGACTTTGCCGCATTCTACAGTATAAAAACGCGAGCTAATGATTTTAATTGGTTTCCAGTTCTGTAGGAGAGCGCTTAAATGAAACTGTACTGTATGAAAAAAATGCAAATCTAACCCTAAAATCACAAGAATAGCGTAGTCTTCACTGCGTACTGCAAACTCGTCCGTACAGATAGGCAGTTTTTTTCGTTAGCCATCGATATAAGTTTCACGTCGATTGCACTGTGTTTGACGCAATGCGTGAAGTATTCTTACAGTCTTGCAGGCGCTAATACGCGTTTTAGGCCGACCGAGCCGACCGCACTGTGTTTGAAGTATTCCCACAGTCTTGTAGGCGCTAATGTACGTTCCACGCTGGCCGCACTCTGTTTGGCGCTATTATTTGAACAAGTGGAGTTGAGTATTTCTCATTTTGCTTGGTTGGTTGTGCCGAGGCACAAAGGCCAAATCCCCATCACAAGGCAAAAAGTCAAAACTAAAAAATAAAAAGGACTTGTTACTGAAAAGGAGTTTTTACGCACACTGAATGGATCATTGTTGATCAAATCGGTGTCGATTGGTTCGCATCGATCGATTTATGTCAATCGAATCCGTACTCTCCCTTATACTGCTGTGCTTAGGAAAAACGTCATTTGAACATTCGAGAGTTGCCAATTTTTTTCCGATAAAATGTTAATTTTTGAGGAGCGGTATGAATATTTTTCCTTTTAATTTCAGAGACTGTAGAATGATTGCAAATGACATTCTGTGAAAAATTGGAAGAAAAATATCCACAAGTTTTCCAGGAAAGTCGCATTTAATTGAAGGAAAGTTGGCAACGCCTGAAGGCTCATACGGCGTTTTTTCTTAGCACGGCATTATACTTAGCAAAGCTACAGGCTGTATAACTTACATTTTCCTGGACAGCGTTAAGAACGCGCTCCGTGTTATCGTTCTCGACAGAGTAAAGAATCATCCTGGTGACAGTGTTGCGGATCATGCCCTGGATGCGCGAGTTGACCGTTGAGTTCTCCAGCAGGAAAGCACTGCCGATGAGCAAAGCGAGGAAGCAGAACATCTGCATCCCTGCATTCTGCAACAAGAAAAGAAAAGAGCATCACAATATTTTCATATCGAGAGGAATAAATTATGTCCCACATGTATAAAAACTTCGGATACAGGGACTACCTTGCTAAAAACGGCCATGGTGGTAAAATGTTGACGGTAAAACTGCAAAAGTGCGTATCTCGGTTGCAGTATTTTGAAATCAACGTTCCTACTTTCTTTTTCATAAAATGAGCTTACGCGTAGAATATTCACAGAATATTTATCATTCAGAGAATGAAAATCACCGAAGTTTTCAAGAAATGACGTTAACTAGTTTTCTACGTGGAAAATAAAGTTTATAACAGGAAGTCTGCAACGCCGCAAACCGAAATACGAATTTCTGCAGTTTCATCATAGATATTAATAACATGTGAAGCATGGAAGATGAAAATAGTACCAACTCGGTTTTTCAAATTTTCTGAGAACGAAGAACCAACTAATCAGCCACAACACATATTAAAATAACAGCTCAATTTGGAGAAAGGCTGCAAAAAACAGAGGATAAATAACAAAAACTCTGAAACGTTCCGAAATGTTACAATTTCATTATCAGCCGGAGAAAAATTCGAAAAAATAGAAGAATAGGAAGATAAGTCGTCGATCCGCTGTTATTTAATTTTCAGAACCGCAAGCATTTGCTGTTTTTTTCGAATTGGTGAACTGGTGAACATGGTTAATTTGTTTGACCTTAATCTCTTTGTTTTACAAATAGGCCTGAAACCGAGGCCAAAGTCGAATTACTATGTGAATCCTCTTGAGGGAAGCATAAATAATGATATTTTTCCCTCCGAGAAAATCTCATACTGTTATCAACTGCCTCCAGACAATTTTAGGTCTAAAACACTAATCTTGAGCTGTGACTTTGACTTTAGGTCTTGAATTTAAGTCATCGACTCACTGCGAGGAGAACATCCGAGTTGCTGTTGATTTAGTATGACCACGAGTAATACATTTCCTTCCAAAAAGACATGAAAACAACTTTCAATAGTCATGACTGATTTTTAATATTTTATATTATTTAAAGTGCTCACTCAAGCAACTACAGTGCTCTCGAGGAAAAAGTAAAAATCCCTGAAAATCTAAAGCGAAATCCATGGCCTGTTTGGGAAATTCGGAAGCTGCTGCGGGGACGTTGACGGATCACGGCGTCGTGCACCCACAGAATATTTCCTGCAATTTAAAACAGGGGTTGAGGGTGGGGCACTGTTGCCAAATTTGAGGAAAATAACACAATTTTTCCTGAGGAGGGCAGTGTGAATATGACGAATGGACCATTAGACAAGACAAGAATTTAAGCATTCTGAAACATGTTTACTTTCCAAAATTTCTTGTAAAACACGAGTTGCGCAATTGGAATTGTCAAAAATAACTTCCAACCGGGATATTAACTTTTTTTTCTCTGAGCGTTGGTTACGAAAAATTCCCTTGGGTCATTTTGAAACACAAAAGTTCAAAAGAAAAATGAGAGTCTTCTTGGATCAATTTGCACACTACACCGGTTTTCGGCAGGCTGATCAACCGTGCAATGCTCCTTATTCCCCACACTGTGTTGCTAAAAGTGTAAACAACGTGCGACGGCTGAGCCGTGGTGCTGAAATTGAGGTTGCCATATTCCCACACCGCAGAAACTGTTTCGGTAACGTTCAGTGTGCCATTTAACTCAAGATAGATTATGATTTTTCCATGAGTGGGAAATTTGACTTTATACACACAACAAAAGCAATCAAACCAGTAATTTCTTGGTTAGGAGTTGCATCCAGTAAGGTTTGTTGTAAGAACTGTGTTCTAAATGAAATTTTGATTTCAAAACATACTCCCAATGTTTAAATTCGCGCCTTGTCTAGTGGTCCATTTCCCGTAAACATGGCAACGCTGAAGAGAACGAGAGAAGGACAAGGCGAGAGGATAACTTCAACTCCACAACCACGGATGTGTTAACCCCTGATGCATGATACGTGTCAGACAGCAGGCGCGTGGGGGAGGATGGAGGGTTTCAGACGCCAAGGATAGAGGGAGGGAGGGGGAGGGTTTGGATGTCAGAAAAATAGACAAAGCCTGAAACGTGGAGTAATTTAGTTAGGAATGCTGCGATTCGGAAAGAACAAAGCTCTGATCTGTTTGGGGATGCCGCGGAGTTTAATCTTGGTTGTATTTTCCACGTGCTTTTAAGAGAAATTTTGTGTTTTTTGAGGGAATTTGGCGACTCCGGAACGTTGCGGCACGACGAGAAGCGCGAAACACTGGTGAAAAACATTCTTGGAGTAACCTGACTCATTATTCAATCTCACAATCAGTCGCTGTTTATGGGGCACATAAATCCCTCCCCCCTCCCGTTTCTCGTGAGAATGCATCTTTTAGCTTCGCCACTGCAGTTTTGCGTCCAAAAAGAAACTGTTCCTCCTCCACAATCGCAAGGATCCTGGACAGTTTTTTTTTTTTTTTTTTTTTTTTTTTTTTTTTTTTGAGAAAATGATAATTTTCCTTTTGAGTCAAAAATACGGTTTTTGAGTTTTCGCTATCACATTTGCAAATATTCTATGATATGAGCTGCGAGCTTTTTTGCTAGGTCTTAGAAGTTTGCGAGCAGCGAACGTGACAAATACATCATTCCAGAGGCTTATTCTCGAAACCACTCCTGCAGAGAACTTGCGTGAAATCTGGCGAATTTGGAGCCAGCATCGCTTTCTGAGCGAAACCTTATCGCCAGCGTAGAGCACGGCATTACGAGTTTACGCCTCGCGCCATCCCGCCTTCAATTTTATAGACGCAACACGGACATCCATCAAGCACGAATAGTTGTATCTCTGCGCCGTCATCAACTCGTCCCCTTTCCTTTGCTCTTCTTCTACCATTCCATTTTGTGTTGGTTCTTTTTGTCTTATTTGTAGTGTTGCTTTAAAAGCTACGTGAGCAACCCCGCCTCGCCTCGTATTCCTTTTAACTTTTCACCCAAATCCGAGCGAAACCTTATTGCTAGCACAGGACACATCATTACGAGTTTACGCCTCGCGCCATCCCGCCTTCAATTTTATAGACGCAACACGGACATCCATCAAGCACGAATAGTTGTATCTCTGCGCCGTCATCAACTCGTCCCCTTTCCTCTGCTCTCCTTCTACCATTCCATTTTGTGTTGGTTCTTTTTGTCTTATTTGTAATGGTGCATCAAAAGCTACGTGAGCAACCTCGCCTCGCCTTGTATTCCTTTTAACTTTTCACCCAAATCCGAGCGAAACCTTGTCGCCAGCGTAGAGCACGGCATTACGAGTTTACGTCTCGCGGCATCCCGCCTTCAATTTTGTAGACGCAACACGGACATCCATCAAGCACCAATAGTTGTATCTCTGCGCCGTCATCAACTCGTCCCCTTTCCTTCGCCCTCTTTCTACCATTCCATTTTGTGTTGGTTCTTTTTGTCTTATTTGTAGTGGTGCATTAAGAGCTAATTGAGCAACCCCGCCGATACCAGAGACGTAATTATGCCTAGTTTTTTAACTTTTCCCCCGAATCGGAGAGCCACCTTACTGGCAGAATTGTAAACCTCTTAGAAGGTGTTCTACAAAACCAATCATTTTTGTCATAAACGTGTTAGTTAGCGTACTTATATGGAAAAATGGAGAGGGTTTGGACATGTCAAAATATGGAGCTCTAAATAGGCAGCCGATCTTCAAACCCAAAAAAATGTCACTGCCAATCTTCAGATTCCAATATCAAACTAAAATGGACAAGAGTGTACATTAATGAGCGTTCTTCCGCAAAAACGAGTATATTTATGCAAAATTTAAGTCAAATTCGTGCTTTAAAACGATAGGTCGTAAAAAATATAATAAAATGTCATTCTGGATAATTTGATTTCACAGGTTGGCTGCCCTTTTGGGCCCTAAAAGCTCCATGACCTAGTCTCAAAATTACCGAAGTGTCCTCACTCTCCCTATATAGACACTTTATAAAAAACTATTTGGTCGCATTTGATTCGACTTCGAGGCCCTCATCTTGATGGCAATGGCGAGGCGTGAAGGATCGATTATCGATATCTCTCCATTTGAAGCTACGACAAATAATCGATTATTAAGGTGTTCGTTGCGAACACCTCGTTTATCGACCCTTTTATATAGGTTTAAAAGGCAGTTCAATCGATTTACGCGAAGCACACCACGCCAATGCTTGATGAACTATTTTTCTCGGTGCTAGGTCGTTTTTCCTAAATTTTAGCGGCTCTGGTGCTTGCACTAGAGCTGCTATTCCGGACGGTCCCAGCTGGGGAGTATCATTGGACCATGTTACATTGGAGAGACCGCGCGTTGGTTAATGGGAATCGGCGCCATTTTCGGCTATGTTCCTTTTCATGACTTTATTTTATTGCATATTGTTTTATTGTTAGCCAATGCTATGTTGTGTAGTGTATTTTTGGAATCATGGTGATACAGTCAATAATTCAAAACTTGTCTGTGCTTTAATCTCGTGATGGAAAAAATGTACTTTACGTTCAAAATTTGAAAATTTGAATTTTAAAGTTTTCGCGGTTAAGGAAGCTCCAACCACTGGGTTGGAGCTTCCCAGTCATATTACTCGATATCAGCTGATAGCAAACAAAGGTTACCAAGGAAACCGTAAACGTCTATTGCCGTCTGCCCACGTAGCAAATGGGAGGCGAAAATGGAAGTCATCAGTGCATCGTTGAGTGTTGACGCCCGATCCCATTTTCAGACATGTTCACACGTTTTGCTTGCAAAGAAAAAAGGCGGCAAATCAATTTTTATTATTGGACCAATGAGTGTTCTCCAATTTGAGTTTGTAAACATCGTGGTTTCTAGGTTAGGTTTTTGGCTGTGTGATAAATGATATTATGCCGTCTTTGATTTTGTTAAAATGACTCGATATATGTTATTTGATAAACGATTGGAGTTTTGATAAAGTAAGTTGATTTGAATTAAAAATTGTGTCCTTAAAAAATGGATGATGAGGTGATTTGGTTAACATGGGCAT